ATATTTTCTGGAGCAATGTGCTTTTGTTTGTTGACAGAGGAGGTGCCCACAAAGTGAAAAAAACTAAAGGATTCTAAAGGTTTAAAACTGATGCTTATATATCATCCACCTGTAGTCTGTTTTATTTAGACTCTTTTATTCTTTTAGTTCTATTGGTAATCTTGCCGTCTTTTTTATGCAGAATATTTGAATTTAGTTTGTCAACAGTCATCCAAAAACCATTTTAAAAATGTGTTCTATTTGTACTATTGGTTAACTAAATCTGCTTAAATAGATTCCCAAAACTCACCAATTACATATTTATAGCTTCTCTTCACCAAAGAATTCATTTTGAATTTAAGGTCATATAATCCTAAAGTGGTATGTAGCAAGACTTGGTAGGAGTATTGCTTCTACCTCCTGGATTGGATGTTAGTCATTACCATTTACTCTTCATCATTCTGTCGGTGTACTTTAAGAATTCGTCAACACCCTTTATGATCCTGGGAAGAGAGAGGCACAGTGTGAGTTAAGTGTGCGCCCAAGAACACAACACAGTGACGTTGGACAGAGCCCAGACCACTCGATCTGGAGTCCAGAGCACTAGCCATTTGCCTTTTGTGCCTCCCACAAAAAAAAAATGACTCACGGTTTTTCTTTACCAAGAGAATTCTAAAATTTAGAGAAGATTCATTCATGGTCTCAGTCATAGATAGGCATGTCATTATTTTTGTGTCCCGTAATGGGATTTCAACCNCCCACAAAGTGAGAAAAACTAAAGGATTCTAAAGGTTTAAAACTGATGTTTATATATCATCCACCTGTAGTCTGTTTTATGTAGGCTGTTTTATTCTTTTAGTTCTATTGGTAATCTTGCTGTCTTTTTTATGCAGAATATTTGAATTTAGTTTGTCAACAGTCATCCAAAAACCATTTTTAAAATGTGTTCTATTTGTACTACTGGTTAACTAAATCTGCTTAAATAGATTCCCAAAACTCAGCAATTACATATTTATAGCTTCTCTTCACTAAAGAATTCATTTTGAATTTAAGGTCATATAATCCTAAAAAAACACTTTTAAAGTGGTATGTAGCAAGACTTGGTAGGAGTATTGCTTCTACCCCCTGGATTGGATGCTAGTCCATTACCATCATTCTGTTGGTGTACTTTAAGAATTCGTCAACACCCTTTATAATCCTGGGCAGAGAGAGGCACAGTGTGAGTTAAGTGTGCGGCCAAGAACACAACACAGTGACGTTGGACAGAGCCCAGACCACTCGATCTGGAGTCCAGAGCACTAGCCATTTGCCTTTTGTGCCTCCTACAAAAAAAAAAATGACTCACGGTTTTTCTTTACCAAGAGAATTCTAAAATGTAGAGAGATTCATTCATGGTCTCAGTCATAGATAGGCATGTCATTATTTTTGTGTCCCGTAATGGGATTTCAGCCAACTGCCATAAGAGGACACGTGGTTGCTAAGGCATCTCCTTGTGTGGTGTCCTAATGAGATATTCTTTTGGTTTCTTGGGGAGAAGTATGTGAGAAGAGACATTACTAACAAACTGACATCTACACATGTAATAAAATGGCCATTAGACTTCATAGCTCTTCTGTTGCAGGAGTTTGACCACATCATTTCACCTTTCATTTACAGGCCGCGACTCAAAAATGTTGACAGAAGCAGTGCACAGCATATGGCTGTCACCGTAGGAAATATAACTGTGATAATAACAGATTATAAACTTTTAAAACCAGAGAATTCACCTTCTGTAACACCAGACAGGAATTCACCCGGACCGCTGTCAGAAGACAATACAGATCCCGGGCCATCTCTTGGCTCTGAATATACTAGTAATGGAGTTAATAATCAGGAAGATAGTTCATGACATATAGTATATTAATATAATTTGCTAAGATAATAGGACCATTTTGCAATTTTCCAGGTGTAGTTTTCAAGATTATGTACGGTCACAAGTAACTTTTTGAGGCATGTCATTTAGTAAGCTGGGAAAATATCAACCCAGCTGTAAGCTTGATTATCCTAGCTGAAAAAGACATGTACTTTCTTTCTTCCTTAACCCTCCCATTTGAAAGAGTGCCAAGTTCAAAGTTAGTAAAATATTAAATTTCTTTTTGTATTATTTTGAAAAACATTGTGCAGTAGAACTTCTTAACACCTTTCATTTTGATGGTTGCACACCTAATAAAGAGATCCGGAAGACAAGGAATATTTAGGCCAAAAACTTAAGGAGATGTGGTATACTCAGACCCCCACCCCTAATGGGGCTTCAGTCTCAGCTGATGGATGTAACTCTAAACATTAAAAGACCAGGAAAGTTTTTTTTCCATAAAATCTCTATGAAATGGAAAGCTATTGTTTACATCAGATGAATTCTCCCTCCCCGCGCCCTACCCGCAAAAAGCACTGCATTGCGGGTCATGACTTGATTCGTTCCAAGACTCCCAGTGAAGACCTTTTGGGGATGAACTGCCAAGAAAGCTAAGCTCCCCCAGCTGGTAAAATGTTCGTAGCTATGTAGGTTTACTACCCTATTGAAACAGACAAACAAGAACTTTTTCAGCAGTGTATTCTCGTATCCAGTGCTACTCGCTATAAATTGTTGTTAGATACTGAAGAAACGGACGGCTCTGGGAACGAAAATGTAAACGCCTCTGAAAAGGCGGCTTTGACGCAGTGGCTCCTGCGCAAACTTTCTTCAGGCCCGTCATTCTATCTTTTCCCCAACCTCTTTCCAAGGGTTCTCTCTCTACTTTCCTGAGGTAGAGAAAGAGCCCTGGGAACGAGGTTCTCTTTTCCCTCCATGCCAAGACCCGTGCATTTTCGCTCGACGCTCTGGACAAAATAAGAACCATGTGCACAAGGTCGCGTGCAACCGCTGTGACTAATGCTGGCTCACCTTCCTATTTCTCCCAGAGGTGTCTACTTCTTTTGGGCTGGCCAAAAGGGTCGCGGCCCCTGGGAATGAGTTGTCACCTTGTTGATGGAGAGGAATGCATGCGTGAGCCTAAAGATCGTTTGCATAGGAAGAAGGTTAAAGGCTGAAAGACGCACGAAAAACGAAACAAAAAAAGTGTTTCTAATGCAGATTTCTCTGGAACAGGAGCTAAAAAGACATGGATTTACTTACTGAGGGTAAGATAAGGACCATCACCAGGCTTAGGGTTACTGGGAACGAGGGAACGCAAGAGAGAGCGCATCGAAACACACGACGGAACGCCTGGCAGAATGGATATGCGGCGCAAGGGAACGCAAGTGAAATGCACTGGGAACGCACAGGGAAGGCACGAGAAAACGCATAAAGAAGCCCTCGAGGAACCCTCAGGTCTTTTTTGGATGAACTTAAAGTACACTCGGGTGGAACACGTGCGAGGTTGTGCGGACTGTTGGGTGTCAACCCAGTTCAGCCAAGGTTGAACGTCGGCCCAGGGTTTGTTTGTGAGTTGAGAGTATGAGGGAACGCAAGAGGAACGCAAAGGGAACGCAAAGGGAACGCAAAGGGAACGCAAAGGGAACGCAACAAGAATATATCAGGGAATACAGAGATCGCACGGGAAAACCCGACAATAAAAGTTAGTACGAAACACATAGGGTAACGCATGATGAACTGCACGGAAGACGCAATGCAACGAACTGGGGGAATAAGAAGATATCGTACGGGGGAACTCGTGGTATAACAGACGAGTAAAGCCACTGTAAATGCGTGAGGATGATTGGCAAGAAAATCACTATTTTGATGAGGAAGCACATTTCGATGGTTATTTAAAGAATTACAAATTGAAGGGGGAAAGCTGTTTAATCAGAGAATATCTCACGTTGGAAAATCTTGTTTATTAAAACATTATTTTAACACGTGATCATAGTTTTTCGCGCGCTTATAAATCTGTTTATATTTATACCGTCCCAAGATACGTGTTTCCCTAATTTTTGTCGATTTTTGATATTACAACACGTGCCTTTCGTCTTTTTGTTAAAGAATGATCAAAATCCAGTTTCTTGCAACATACATTGCCATGGTTACGAGATTAAAACTGAGTGAAATTATGAAACTTTGTCCTGATGTACTTTTAAATTCTCAATACATTTTCCTTAATGATGGTTAAATAAAACACTTA